GTGGGATTTTGCAAAACCTGGAATGCTTGGTGTGTAATTGGCAGGCCTTTAGTTAGATCAGGTGATATCTGCAGGAAACAGGACCTCCTGGGAAGGTGATATTGTAGAAGAAAATAGCAGAAGAGAGGCAAGAGCTTGAGAGAAAATTGAGTGTTCATATCAGCAAGCAAGAATCCCATTTAAGGCCAAGAATCACAGCAGTTGTTAGGCATCCAAAAGAGCATCTATTCACAATCAGTTTTGTGCAGAGAAAGAGAGAGAGAGAGAGAAAGAGACAGAGAGAGAGAGCAAACAACCAAGTTTAGAATGGGAGAGTCCAAAAGCATATGTCAAATTTTGAACTCAGTGTTGAGGTGTAATAGGTTTGGTACCACTGTTACCTTACAGGAGTTTGGTCTAAGATTCTCAGTATTTAAAGAAGATGCTTATTTTCACAGAAATGGAAAAATTTCTCTTTTTCATGCAGATTAAAATTCTCTACCCAGTTATAAATCAAAAATTAACAACTTTATCTAGGTCAGGCCATTGAAGCTACATTAAAGTTTTATCCTCATTCACTAAATTTTAATTTTAATGTGGCACATCTGACAAGTCTTGTGGGACTACTTAGAATCCATTGACATCCTTCTGTCACTGGTATCAAAGCCTCATCTTTGAGACTCTTGTTTCCAGATACCTAGCTGTCACTGGATTATTTGGTCTCTGCAATGGTGCCACAATCGATGGCTGCGCAGGCATTCACATGCATGTCCCACATATGTCAGCTAAAGCTCACACACCACAGAAATAAACAGCTTTACCTCTAGAAACACAGATTTCTATGTAGCCACTTAAAGGGGAAGCTATAAATCTTTTTTTTAATCCCTTCCAGCCTTTTTTAAGTTATTGTAACTGGTTGCCTGTAAGTTAAAACTCCACAACAACTCTACAGTTTAATTTGCAAACAATATTTAATTACAGGAATGGCTATGAGAAGAAAAATATTTTCCATATCACTGCCATCATTTTTATGATTATTTATGGTAGAAATGTTGATGCACTATTTGACAAAACTGTCTGGAAGACCTGGAAGACATCTAATTCTGGAGTAGAAACAGTTACACATTATTTATCTAGTCAGTCACTTCAGAATTATGGCAGAAATTTAGTGTTTCAGCTACTGTGGCCTTTAGCATCTGAGCAATTACCAGGCTTAACTACAGGCCTCTTTCAGAATAATAGTTATGACACATTCATGGAATGTCAAAGTATGTTCACAGATGATGGAAACCTTACAAATGCTGATCCCTGGCCAAAACTTCACTGCCAACATTTCAAAAAAACAAATGGTGAAGTGCATATCTATAAGGTAGGTGCAAATGGATTCATAGCAACTTCTTGGAAATTAATTTGACCCAGGAAAGAATCCCCAAACTTTTCTTCTGTTCATATTCCCAAGCAGTTGCGAAGGTCTGTGCTCAGATCTCAGACCTGCTGTTAGCATGGCTGTGGCTCAGTAGAGGAAATACCCTGTCAGTCAGGGCAGCTGGCTAATCCTGGGCTTGGGTGCAAGAGAGAGGGGAAAGATGTAGGACAGAAAGAGACATTCCTAACACATGCAAAATGACGCCAAATGGCAGAATTACAAAGAGATTTTCTTTTCATTTGCAGTTGTGTCCCATAGCACATTCCTACTGCTGCTGTCTTGCTTACAGGGCCCCTCTGACACACTCAGGGAAACACCACTGTCCCTGTGGTTCCCAGGAGGAAAGGTGTTGCACTAGGTCTGAACTCACCAAAGTATTACATCGCCCTGCGCTTCTCATCACAGACCTGAAACTCTTTCCTACTGGGCAGCTTTAAAGTCTACTTCTTCCTTCTGGGATTCTGCACATAGGACACAAGCTTTCAGGCACCAGAGGCTTCTAACAGACACAGGGCTGGGATGAAGGAAAGGAAGGACAATACACATCCAGTCATACATGTTGTACCTAGTTAACATAAGTTGGCAGTGTTCTCACTGCATCTTTGACTTTCAATGCAGCACGCACTCCATTCTGTCCACATCAATATGCACCAATCCTTTAACCTGAATTTACGGACAATGTTAAATGTTTTACCTGTCTCACAGTCACTTGAAGCTTCCTGCACTGTTTTCTCACTTTCCTCCTTCAGAATCGCTGCCTCATATGGGGAAATTGTGTTTCACTTACTTTCTTCTGTGAGAATTAAAGTGTGAAGATAAAACTCCACGAGTGACAAGAAATGCTTCTGCCCATTAGAAATACTGGCCTGGTTCTAGCTAGTCTGGCCTGGACTTCAGGTGGGAAGACTAAATAATGTAGCTAACAGCAATAAGGCACTGGTAATTTTTCTTAGGAAAAAAATATTTTATTTACATGTGTTTGGTATTGATAATTGACCTTCTAGTTCAAAGCTGAAGTTCTACTCCTGAGCCCAGCCACAGCTAAGTCCCAAGTATTTGTTCTTCTTGACATATTAGGATTACATTTATTGAACTTCAGCTTTGTTTTTAATTGAATGCTGATGCATAATCTTACCACCTATTAGCCTTATTTCTCTTTCCTGTTGCAGATCCTAAGTGTTCCAAGCACCATTCCTCCTTAAAACTAAAGCTCCTGCTTGTTTGCTTTTTCATCTCCTTAGCCAGTCTTCAGATTGCATTTTCCTGAACACCACAGCTATTTATTCAGGGGAAGGACTAAAGGACAGATTCCTTCTGACATTCTCAGCATGCTGCTGTGAAGACTTCTGGCTTCAAGGGCCCATAATAATGGAAGATGAAAGCTTTTTAACAGTTCACCTTCTTGAGTAAATTACTAACACACAAAGTTCAAAATAGGTTCAAAATTCATATTCCCCTCCTCAGAAACTGACATCAACAAAAGCAAAGTAAATGTATCAGGACCACTGAACACACATTTTTCCATTTACATATAGCAGAGAAAAAAATTACTTTTTTCCAAAGGAGAAAAAGAAGTAAATAAAAAGGCCATTTTATAAATCCTAATTTCAAGGATATTTCAGTATCCATTCTCCATTATTTGTGCCTGGATTTATATCTTCCAGCACACAACTCAGCCAATTCTGCAACTTGGCTTCATTAAATTACTTTATACATAATTCAAGATGGAAGAAAATTCTTTTCTTCTTACTTTCACCCTCCCTCTTTACACCTGCAGTCAGTCATAGGACGACATTTTGATAAAGTGGCTCAGTGACTGTTACATCTTCTGACAGTAGCAAAGTGAGAAACATTTTTTAAGCATGGCCATTCCTGTGGCTAGGGGCAGGGTGAATTCCAATTTCCATCAGTAAAAGATATGTGGGCCACAAGGAGTACACTGGTAGCACAGAGTCCCTTAGGCCATGAAACATCCAAAGCACTCAGAACAGCTCAGGCACTTTGTCCCACTGACCCACATTCACCACTAGTCCCTGCCCATTCAAATATGCTGTTTATACTCCCCTAAGTCCCTGTATCAGTTGATGCTTGTCACTGATTAACATTCTCAAATACCAAGGATGTTTCCTAATTCCAAACAGGTAAGGAAAGGACCTCAAGTGTTACAGCTAGGAAGCATTTTGATTAATGTTGACCAATATATGCAAAAAAAATGAAGAATAGGGTCATCACTTTCTTTCAGACATCAGATACGACACTTTGCACCAAGGAAAATCCCCCACTGAGTTTGTAATTGCCTAGTAGAGGAGAAGTAAAAAAGGAACTCAAATCATTTAAAACTCTGCTGATCTGTCATAACATTAACAATTTTCCAACTTTAACACGGCCCTGAATAGAACATAGGCCTAAAAGCAAAAATAAAATGAAAAAAACTCCCCAAACACCTTCATCTTCACATTAAGATGGATTTTTGCAATGAATGAATAATCTCTTTCACTTTTAATTTAGACCTACCCATCAACATGGCTGTTATTATTCACAGCAGCAAAATCCTTGCCACACCACAGTAGAAATAATAGCTGCATCTCTGGGTTCTGTTTTCCCCAAGAATTCATAATGATATTTAAATAAGTCTAGTATGCCATAGGTACAGCAGACAAGGTTGCTTCTAATGAAGGGATATTTTTATTTCTGTCCCAACTTTATATAACATGAATGGAATTTGCTTGAGGAAGAAAGGATCATTAATAGCATGTCATCTCTCCCCTGCATGCAAGGACTCATGACATCCTTGGACATTTTCAATAGTCATGTTGACATCTATATTCTACCAAGAAGCACTATGTCATTTACTAAACAGCACAGGCAAGAAAGTAACCTTGGTGTTTCCATAATACATGATGCAGTGTTTTCCTGAGAGAAGCAAAGCAAGAAATGCATCTACTGCCAAGTAAGTCAAGAACTGAGGAAAAACCATCATCTTTTTCCTGAGTGCCTCTGCAAGACCCAGCACAATGGGATGTCACTGCCTGCCTCGTGACTGGGACTCTGATCCTGCTGCCACACTGGACCACTGGGTCTCCTCTCCTGCATGGCAGGGAAGTAAATTACAGACTGGGGAAAGCTTTATTGAGTAAAGCTTCCCCAGTCTAATTCCACAGTTCAGTCTTTCAAAAGGACCTCAGTGAGATGCCCGGACCATGTGCTGTGATGGTAAGTGCTGGGTGTTCATGCCCCCAGGGCCCACCCGACTGCTCCTGCCACACTTTCCATAGCAATGTTTTAATTCAGGATCCAGAGGAGGTTCCTCTGCAGAGCTATCTGAAACTAAGTATGTGTGCTTTCCAGGTTACTTTTTGAAAACAAATGCAGGTATCTGCAGTCTTATTATTCATAAAATGGTATAGAAAAATTAATTACAAGTGACATAAGAAGCTAAGTTATTATATTGTACTTAGAATCTTCACCCTTTTTGTGGACAGCCTCCAAGTGTACTTAGATTTCTTTAGGTGAAGCTCTGTAGCATATTCAGTAATTCTACCAAAGAGATCATTTGGGATGCATCAACAAATGCAACTATTAAAATAGAGCCTACCTTTCAAGAGAGTTGGCAGCCAGCTGTGATGGAAGACGTAGGTAGAGGCATCTTATTGCAATTCAGACCTGCTGAAAACCAAACAGAAAATTAAGGAATGAACTAAAAAAGGACCTTGATGTGAAAATGTCTGTTTAACCACCCCAAAAAGAACTGTTTCTCTGGTTTCAGACATAATTTTTATGCCAAGCTTATTATTTGAGGCTTATTTAAGTGTTTGGAGTTCATCTTAAAGCCACCATTTAGAGCTTCTGTATTCAGAGGTAAGTGATCACTAATCAGAGAGGAAGATGAAAAATGTTACATAACTCAGGGTAAGGATCTCTACAGCAGAGGAAATTTTGGAACTAGCCAGAACTTGCAAGGAGAGAGTAAAATAAAAATAGGACCTAGATGACAGGCTTTTATTGGTACAGATGTTTTACCTTTTCACTGTCCATTTGTGAAGAGATAAAAAATACACCAGGTCCTGAAGAAAGGTTGTCTTGAAGTGTGTAATGAGCATTGCCAGGAGGCAAGAAGTTTCTTCCAGGACCTGGTTTCCAACACCTTAAGGTTGCAACCCACTGAACCAGGAGAGGCTCTGCCAGCAGGTGCACTATAGAGGTGAAAGAACTGAAACACATCATCTGAAACGTAGGGCACCTGCAAGACCCTGAAGCTCTTTGCTCCAAACTTCCTGAGATAACCTTGCTGAGAGAACACAAAGGCCCTTTAAACTGCCTTTCATGGCTTATGTGCCATTCCATATAGCCAAAATGAAGAACATATTCTGAATACCATGCAACCTCAAAATAATGTTCAAAATAATACCCCTATTATTATAAATAAGACACACCCCTGAATTCTACTGAAGTTAATATGATTTTTCAGTTCGAATTTTGAACATTATGAGCTTTTATGATTGCTGAACTCAAATAAAAATCCATGCCCAAAAGTCCATAATATTACAAGGAATCTAAATCTAATAATCTTTTTAAAATCAAGCATGTGTTTAAAATTGTGTAACTTAGAGTTAGAGCTGAAAAAACAAACTATTTAACAAAAAGTAGGTTTATGTCACAGTTGGAACACAATAAATACAGTTTATCCAGAGCAACCAGAAGTGATTTTTGTCCAGGAATATCTTATTTCTATCAGTATAACTGTGTTGTGCATCACTTCCATGTGTGTGTAACAGCAGTTCCCAAACTGTGATCATTCTACTCATTTATACTACAGTGCACAGATAAGTGATTAGCTCCTCATTTCTCTAATTACAGTAGGTAGCAAGAAAAGAGGTGTAAACAGTATGTTGCTAATGAAAAAATGTGGGTGCCAAGAATGAATTGCAATAATTGTAATATTTGATATTAAGAAGATGAGAGAAAGAAATTACTGACACACTTTCTCTCAGTCACCATACTGATAGGTAAGCTGCTCAAGACTTATGTATGAGAGGCTTAATACAGCTAATAATAAATTATAATGAAGTCTGAACAAGGATATATGAAAATTACTGTGTCCACATGACATTTCGTACTGCAGGAAGAAAGGCTGAGTCAGCAGGAGGCTGGAGAGCTGTAGTTATGAAATGAAAATGAGCTTTTCAACTCAAGGAACATCAGAGAGATGGAGTTCTAACTCCTAGTGAAAGCCAGCAGGCAGAGCACATAACCCACCTGGCCCTATACAAAGTAAGAAAAATGCAAGCCCTCTCCCAGTGCCATGCCTGGACTGGAACAGTGTGCAGAAAACATATTTATTGCAGCTCTGTGCCACATTATCTCCAGGGCTTCAAGCCTCTACTGCAGGGTAGGATAGTTAGCTTTCCTATTAAACATGGCAGGATACAGCTGGAAGCTGAAGCAGAAGAGATTGTGTTTAATGAAACTTCCCCAGGTCTTACACTTCAGTGGTGTATTAAGACCTAAAAGCATTTTAACCAAAACCTTGGACTCTTTGGTAGAATTCAAAATACAGACCTTGTGTTCCAGCTCAGCAAAGGAGCGATGCAGCAGTCCATCACTGTTGCTCAGCAAAGGAGCGATGCAGCAGTCCATCACTGTTGAGAAATACTTTTTGCCAGGTGTCTGAGTACAACCCTTGGGATGACTAATGCTCTACCTCAGTTTGAAAATCCCAGCTCCACTGATATTTTAGCTGGGAACAGGAGTGTGCTTTTGAAGAGACTCTCCTGAGCATTCCCCATTACATCATTTTTCTTTTCAGTGCAGGGCAATCTCAGAGCACAGACTGAGCTCATTTGGGATGGAACCAAACTGGGGTGCCCTGAGTGGGCTCCATTGCTCTTGGGCATTCATTCAGCAGGGTGGAAGTGCATCTTTGAGAGGGTGTTAGTGTGGATGTTGAGTCTCCTGCATTCTCTGCTCACCTGTGCAGGATCAACCCCCTGGGAATACAGACACACAACTGTGCACCCTACATACACCACTACTGCCAGCGTGCACATCCCAACCAGGAAGTTAGGAAAAAAGAATTCTGAGATGGAAATTGTCTCTTTAACTGAAGCGAACATTTGAACAAATGGGTATCTGCAAAGTTACTAATATAAACCCCTTTGTACAACTTTACAGGGACAGGGAATATTAGAGCAACCAAGGGCATTCAGACAGACTAGACAAGCATATTGTACCTATGAAATGCTCTTCATCATTACTGCAAGCACTAGTGCTTGCATACAAGGCATGTAATTCTTGTCATGTTGTCTGTAGCATCATGACAGAGCTTATAGTTTCAGGAGGGATGTGGGCTGAAGATTAATTCATTTCATATGCATTCAGATATTTTCATTTTTTCATTTTCTCCCATATGGAAGAGACAAAAAGACAGGCAGCTTTGAAGGAAAAACCTTTTTCATTTTAAACATTCTTTCCTAAAATTTATTTATAAATTATATATAAATTATATTATATATAAATTATATATAAATTATAAATTATATATAAAATTTATATTTTCTCTGAAATAGCATATTGGTCTTCCTTAAAAGAAGATTTGAATAGTGAATAATAAATAAAATAAAAATATTTATTTCTTTAATAATGAAATGTTGGAGCAATTTTTAAATTTCTTTCCTTTTTTGTTGTTGTTATTACTTGATTTTCCATTTTAATGAAAAACTGATGCTTGGAACCAACAAATAGGCATGCATCTGTTGAATAATGCTAATTCATATTCAAACTGTGCTACCTAATTACAATGCATTTTTCATGGTACCATCACAGATAACCATGGATGATTCTTGGTCAGTCACAACTTTCTTAATTAGCAGGAACTTAACTATTATATTTTTTGACTTTTCATGGATTGAATAGGGTATGCTCTCCAGCTCTCATGATCAAACATAGTCCCTCCCCAAAGCATAGGATTAAAGGCATTATATTGATCAAATCACAAGCAGACATCTTTTTGCTTTGCTCTGCAAATGTAGAAATAAATATTCACAAACCAAATGTATTACAGTGAATAAAAAACTGACTCAGTCCTGGAAAAGCAAAACACAATGTTTCTGAGGAATTTCACCCTAAAAAGTTTCCTTCTTGAATAATTTTAAGAGTATATTTAGATATTAGTGTAGGTGTTGGGGAAAAGCCCACATTGCTTTAAAGTCTGCCTTTTGTTTAAAACACCATTTCAAGAGATGATGTTATGCAATTAGAAAGAAGAAAGGGAAAGAGTCTAAAACCCAGTGATTCAACCCAGCTATAGTAATAGAATTTCTCACAGTCTGTAGAAGGTTCAGTCTCAGAAAGCTTTAGAAATACTCTCAGGTATATAGTTTAGTAGATCATTGAGATTTATGTTCATATTAGATGAAAATATCAATCTAAATCTTTCTTTCTAAAAAGGTTTAGACTAAATTATTCTCTTTACAAGTAAGTCTCAATCCATATGTCTACATGAGTGTCTTAAATACCAAGTCCTAAAATACAGGAAACTTAAATGGATGTTTTTGCTACCTGCCTTAGATTAGCTGCAGTCCTTTGTGTCATGCAGTGGGCACTGAATCAAAGAAAAATTCCATCTGTGTCTAGTAAAGAGGCTGAGCTGCTACTGGAAGGATACTCTCCACAAAAAAGGAATAGTACAGCAAAGAAAACCCAACATTTTTTCCACAAACCTTAGAGACTGTTTCTGAGGGAGAAAACACTGTTTACTTTCAGTGCTGCCTGCAATCTTTAGTCCTCTGCTTAGGACTGCCAAAAATTTTATACATACCAGGTCATATCAATAGGACTTTCCAAAACAATATCATTTTTCTGAGAACAGCCACTAGCAGATATTGGGTGGGAGTGGAAGGAGAGAGAAGGCACACAATCATACTTTGTTCTTATATGAACATACTTTGTTCTCATATGCCTTCCTCACTTCTGGGAGTTTGGAGAACTCCCAACAAGGAGGTTACAGCCACAATATGGGGCTTAATAGGCTGCCAGCCATCTTCTTCCCATTAATGCCCTGGCCTGCTTTTAACCCAGTTCTATTTTGCACACTGACAAAATCAGGCTTTGGTTTCTGGATGAATTCTTGGCTTTCATGGGGTATCCCTTATCTCCAGATGTGTGAGAAGCAGTTAAGGGAGAAAGGGAAAGAGGGAGGAGAGGACTGAAGGAGATCAAATCTCTGTCTCAATGGGCTTCAAATCACAGAGGCTTTCTGATCATATCAGAAAATTTTTCCACTCTTCTCTGTGTGTACTTACCTGGACACCATCATCTATGTTATTTAAAGTCTGTGTAAAACAAGATGGTGTAAATTTTTGCCCAGGATTCCAGCTGGAGCCTCTATTGCAATATATCAAAACATGACCTTTATCTCTCAGGAAGGCATGACTTTGCAAAATTTTTACTTTTTGTAGCATAGGTCTGTTAAGGAAAGAAAATTGCACAACTGAACTAGAGATTATTGTGAAAAGACAGTCCACTGGGACCTTGGGGCTACTCACTAAACATGGTAAACAGGCTACAAGTCAGATTTATTCCAATGGAGCCTGCATAACCTGGTGGCACCAGCCAAATGGAAGATTTATGTCTTCTCATGTATCCAGACCAGAAATCTTCACACT